GCATGTGCTCATGGAGCTACCGTCACCGATCACGTCATCAGGCAGAAAGCATCACAACTGGCCGTAAATCTTGAAGTTGATTTTGAACCGAGCAATGGCTGGCTCATGCGCTGGAAGCAGGCCAATAACGTTTCGTTCAAAAAATTTCACGGCGAATCAACGTCAGTAGATCACGGTTCTGCCAACGAATGGGTGACAAACGTTTTGCCGCAACTTTTTCGTGGATATGATCCAAAAGATGTTTGGAACTGTGATGAAACAGGAATTTTCTAAAAGCCATGCCGTCTGGATCTTTGCGATTTGCCGGCGATGAACAGTCAAATGGGACAAAATTTCCCAAAGACAGACTCACGATGCTTCAGTTCACAAAAATGGACGGCAGTGAAAAGCAAGCTGTAGTTTTTAGTAAGTCGGCAAAACCACGGCAAACAGATTTTGACGAATTTATCAGCTTCGACGACCGTACACAATGTTATGGAGAACTGACTGATACGGACATCACACGTGGTATAAAATCGGATGATCAAGATTTTGACGAAGATGATGATGCTGAAAGCATAAGTTCTGAAGTTTCTGAAAGTGACAAACCAGTGCCAAATTCTCTGGCTGCATTGAATGCGCTTGAAACTCTGACAGCCTACTTTGAAGCAAAAAGCAGTAATCCTGATGGCGCATTGAAAATGATTTACGGACTGTATGAAAGTGTTCATGATGTTAACAAAGAGATTTCTTTTTGAAGAAAAAGTAATTTTTGATTGAATTATTTTGAAAACTGATTGAAAATGTATTTTTGTCTGTGTTTTTTATGTCTATAACTGTTAAATAAACTAGTGTTCTGTACGTAAAAAGCGTTATATGAAGTGTTCCCATACTTACCTAAACAAAATAGACCAAACCCGGATATAAGAGAAACCCGGATATAAGAGACTTCTTCTCCGGTCCCGACAACTCTCTTATATCCGGGTTACACTGTAATATATCCTAAGAAAGTTAAATTTTCTAGGCTCCCTTTTCTTATTGTGTCTACTTGTGTCTTTCTTATTTTAAGTGTCATTTTGTTTCGATATTCATTAAAAATTTTCTTCTTTCACATATGCGCTGTCCACCATATTCCCAGTCTCCCTTGGTCGAACGACATCTCTGTCGCTGAAAATATCTTCTTCACTTGTGAGGAGATTGTTAAAAATTCACTATCGTCCTGTGTGTTAATATCTTTGCTTTATTTCTGGAAGGCATCTTTCGCTCTTCCTACGCGCCGTCAGCTATCTATCTTCAGTTAAAACACTAGCCAGACAGTTTAATTCCCGTTCCTAATTGAGTTTGGAGTCCCCAGTACGTGACTTACACGTTCAACTGGTCTCCTACTAAGTTAAACTAAATGAATATCAATGATTTATATCTCTCGATTTAGAAGTCGAAGACAACAACTTCTATGAAGTATTTGATCATTATCGGATAAACAGCTTTTGTGATTTTATGGTTTGATGTGTTACATTATATATACCAACACAAATAAGTAAAAAAAAAAAGTGGGTATACGGTTCCACCGACGAATGTTGAGAATAAAATATACAGAGACTCTGACAAATGTGGATGGTTTAATTTGAATAGGAACTTCAACGAAATCAGTGCTAACAGCCAGAAAAAGAAATCTGAGAACTTTTAGAAACAGATGATGGGCGTATTGAATTTAAAAGAGGAAAAAACCCGTCGAATACAAGAGAAGCATGGAAAAGAAATGAGTGAACTACTTGACAAATGTGGATGGTGGAACAAATAATTATTTTTTTTAAGCATTTCACCCCAAGCAAGAGAGGAGTGCCATTAGCACGCAGGTTTGGTTTGGTTTATTTTGTTTTACGGCATGTCAGCCTCAATGGGTTATTTAATGCCGATAACATTTTTAGGATAGATTCGTATGAATAGAATATATATTCTTTAGTTTAGACTGGTTTGTTTCATTTTGTTTTATGGCATATCAACCTCAATGGGTTATTTAATGCCGACAACATTTTTAGGATAGATTCGTATGAATAGAATATGTATTCTTTGGTTTAGATTGGTTTGGTTTATTTTGTTTTATGGCATATCGCCCTCGATGGGTTATTTAATGCCGACAACATTTTTAGCATAGCTTCGTATGAATAGAATATGTATTCTTTGGTTTAGATTGGTTTGGTTTATTTTGTTTTATGGCATATCAACCTCAATGGGTTATTTAATGCCGACAACATTTTTAGGATAGATTCGTATGAATAGAATATGTATTCTTTGGTTTAGATTGGTTTGGTTTATTTTGTTTTATGGCATATCAACCTCAATGGGTTATTTAATGGCCACAAGATTTTTAGGATAGATTTCTATGAATAGAATATGTATTCTTTATTTTAGGCTTTATTTTGTTTTACGGCATATCACCCTCGATGGGTTATTTAATGCCGACAACATTTTTAGGATAAATTCGTATGGATAGAATATATTTGGTTTAGATTGGTTTGGTTTATTTTGTTTTATGGCATATCAACCTCAATGGGTTATTTAATGCCAACAATTTTTTATTATTGCTGCTAATATTTTGCTTTGTCAAAAATCTGCTTCTGGTAATATTTTTTCTTCAAAATTATATTGCTGGTAATAATTTTTTCAAAAATGTATTGCTGGTAATAGTTAACTATTTGCCCATAGCTGAGACCCTAACAGGTGCTACCACCCCAGGTCAGGGTGGACCTGAGAACAGCAGCAATTAAGAGGTGATTCCATGCTCCCTAAAACATCCTGATCAGAGGCCTTGATGCTGGACGTAGTTTATCGTCTTACCCAGGACGCGGATATAGTTTAACGTCTTACCCAGGACGAACTAGCATGCAGGGAGTTACGGCGAGTGAAAGTAAGAGAAAAGAGTGGGTATAATGGCGGTTGAGGAAAATAAAAAAGGCCAGGGACCTAGGCAACAGAAGATGGCGATTGACGCTGCATTTAAATTTTTGAAGATTATAGTTATTAGGGAAGCAAGTGAGATGAAGTGAGTTCCAATGTCGGCAAGTACGAGAAAAAACTGTTGGAGTAGAAGTGGTAGTTATATTTAATTATTTCAACTGTAAACGGGTGGGAGCTAAATGCCAATCTAGTAGGAGAGAGAAAAGGAGCAATAAATGATAGGAAGTAGTTGTGGACCGTGACTACTAACGTCCCCAAGAAATATGGCACGCGGAAAATGAGGGAAGTGTGACAATGGTTAACTAATTACGTTGTAGAATAGTGTTTATTAGATATTTCTTCTCCAGCAGCATTTTTCAGATATTTGTACAGTGTTTTACCAGAAAACGGAATATGTGACACTGAAATACAAAACCGCATTGGGATAACCAATGATGCATTAATTTTTCCAAGCCGTCTTTCCTCGTAATATGTCCTAAAGAATTTCAGATTTCTCTGATTTTATGCAGGAGTCTCTTTCTAATTCACTGCTATATAAGACGATAGACATAGCAGTTCAGATCTCGTTTCTTAACCATGAAGAAACACGTACAATATTAGCCCAAATTATATTACTGTTATGGTCCGGTTTTTTGTACCATGGTGATAGTCCAAGGTAAAACCAATAAAGCCGAACTCGAACACAGGTATGGAATAACCCAGATATATTACAAACAGGAATATATACAGAGAAGTAGAAAAGTGTTAGTATGAACAATCAGGTTTAGTAGAGAGAACAATGTAGTCTCGACCAGTATCACTATTCCAATGTCTTGCAGTAATTGTCTGAACGCGACTCTGTTTCGGACTGCCTCTGACTCGACTCTTGCCTCGACTTGAACTACTGACACCACTTGAACTACTGACTCCTGAGGCGCAGTATTTATTAAGTATGGAATAGTCCATTATTATTATTATGGGTAAGATCCCATAACAATTACTTGTACCTTTTTTTAATAGAAGCGTGGTCAGATTTATTACAAGGACAATTTTTGGGAAAAGTAGAATTTTAGTAAATTTATTGAAAAATGTTTTAGTTGTTTTTCGGGGAGCAACATCTGAACATATTGTAAATTCATAAACGCTACAAAGAAATCTGCTGCTATCAGTGTACACTGGTACCTATGGTAATAGGCAAAACCACAGAAATGTGGTACTTGTTGGTAAATTAAGTACCATATTATTTATGTAGAAAAGCAAATTCCAATATCTGTATATCAACAAATACACACAGAAAGCAAGCAGTAATATACCTGTGAAAGCAAATATTTCTGTAAAATCTGGTAGTTCTACAAACAGCAAATATTGTGCAATTCCATAAAGTTCTTTTTCCTGGGTGAATTTTACAGGTATATTTTTTATTGATATCATGTTTGCTCAATTCCAGAAGACCTAGTTTCAGAGGTAAATCTGTCTTTCTGAACCCCGTTCAGTGCCACTATTCTTTACTAAAGTCTACTCATTATCTCTCGCTCTCAGTAAACCTTGGCGTCTTAGTAACTTTATCGCCTTGCTTAGAGGTAAAATGATAAAAAAAAGCCATATGCGTTTGGTTCATTCCCTTAAATGAAAAATCGATCACTATTTTCATTTGCAGAGTTATTGAAACTGGGTTCAAATAATTCTTTCAGACATATTTGTTTTAGATGAATACCAATCAAAAAGTTTCGATTTTACGTGATTAAACATGATTGATAAGGCGAATTAGATCGATTTTTATATCTAAATTTACGAATTATTTTTCACCCTCCCACAGGCAGAATGTGTCGAAATTCTCACTGCTCTGTCGCTACTTCCATGGAAAGTGCTCGAACGAGCAACGTTCCTTGGTTCTTCAAGGCCTAACATCCATGGCTAGCACCCGCCATGCCACTTGCATTGTAGCAAAGCGCGCATGTTCTCTCCGTATTCCATTGATGATAAATAAGTTCTACTCAAGCAGCTTCTTCCCGTGAAGTGTTGCTCTGTGGAACTCAGCCCTCCGATTGGCATTTCTGAACTATTATCCATTACACCACCTGCAAATACAACATCCGGTATTACCAAGCGGTCACCCATCTAGATACTGGCCAGGCTCGACGTTGCTTAACTTCGGTGATCGTATGGGAACCTGTGTTTTAATGGCCATAAACCATTAATTTTCGATTTAATTGTTACAGAAATATGGATTCCTCAACAAAACAAAACAAAACAAAAAAAAAAAAAAAAAAATTGGAAGGTTGGTTGAAACTTCTTTGATTCTGAATGTTCTGTCACTGACGAAATGTTCTTTGGGTCGAAACAAATGAAAACAACCCAGGTGATAAATCTAGTGAGTATAAGAGATGTGGGAGAACCGTCCGTCTTAACGATCATAATTTTCTTGTTTTTTTTTTTTTCAGAGTGTGTCGCCATATTGTTCTGCGCGATGACATCAGCTTTCCTGTTTGACAAATCAGGGCACTTTCGATATTATGCAAGTTGCTAACAAGGAACGCCCGCAGTAATGGTCCTCCTATAACAGATGGTACCTTAAGAATGGATATAAAAACAAATGTAAGTTAAATTTGGCAGCATATTATTTCTAAGAAAAAAAAAAGTTAAGTACCTACTATTTCATTCAAACAAGAATGCTGATTTAAAATTCCGCATTTGAAGAACTCTGGGTTTTACTCCTAAAGAAGTTTGGAAAACTCTTTTCAACTTCTTTGCTTCTGAATGTGCTGCCACTTGTGTAATGGCCTTGTGTTCGAAACAAACGGAAATCTGTTGGTAATAAATCCAGTGAATATGGAATGTGTGGACGAAAAACCTATCCCAACGATCTTATACTTTCTTGGGTGTGTTTTGCAGCGTATACCGTCCTGTTGTGTGCCTTGCAATGATTGTCCTTCCATATTCCCTCACGTCTATTAGCTACATATAAGCATTTATTTTATTGATATGTTTTTTTTTCCGGTTTATCAACCTTTTGCAGCTTATTTACAGCCGAAAGATATTCTTGGGGAGTGTAAGAAATTTTTTGAGATAATAATGATTTTCTAATAAATATCTTACTATTTAACCCATAGCTGGAAGTAGAAGTGATGGATTTATACCTTTCCTCGTGGTATTTGCACGAAAGTGAACATAATAAACCCAACTGGAATTCGAACTCGACACTGATTTCTCATTCCAAAGCCTTTATCCTTTACGCAAACCGCAAATTCAAGATTGCAACACCTGGTATTCTCCAACGGTCAAGTATCTAGGCACTGACCAATTTCAACTTTGCCAAATAATTTCGGTGATCGGACGAGAACCGTTGTTGCAACGTGATATGGCCGTAAGCTTAAAAGTATTTAGCCCCAACACTCCTGGTGTCAGATTTAACTGACAACTTCTTTTTTTCCACTTATTCCTGGGAATGACGATGAACTACATCCAGTAGCAAGGCCTCTGATCGAGAGATTGAAGGTTTTGAGGCGCGTGGAGCCACCTCTTCTTGTTGTTCCCAAGTCGACCCTGATCTGAAGACGTTGCATTTGTTAGGGTCCCAGTTCCGGGAAAATAGCACCCCCCCCAAACAAAACACTATGAAAGTATAACAATATATTCTTATAGTAAAAATACCAACAATAATTTATTTATATAAAAAAGTACGAACAATTCATATTTATAGTAAAATGAACAGCAATACATTTTATCTGTAGTTGAAGGATATAATTGCGTTCAAATTTAGATTTCGGGATTAAATAACCGATAGAGGTCAATATGCCGCTAAACAAAATCAACCAATTATAAAATCGCCGCTGTATAGTCAGTCACTTATGTACCATGCGTGATACACGAGTAGGCGATCATGTATCTTTCGATACATGACTGACGAGGCAGATTTTTTCCTGCAGTAGGTTGCCATTTCTTTCTGCGGTAGACCAGTTGCCATCCCAGGCTACAGAACCCGGTCTCTCCTATTTACCCCCTAGCTGGGGAGAGAAGAGGATCCATACCTTTGACAAGGGTATTAGCACGTAAGCGAGCGTAACGGATTCGAACTCGGCTCTCCGAGTCTTCTATCCGAGCTGCTACCATTACTCCACTGTGTTGCTGTATAAGAAAACTGAATTAATATCACCATGCAACATTCTTTTATTTCTTTGTAAACACATTTTTCTGTTTCTTATTATTTTTATTAGCTTCTGGAAGCCATTTTTCGCTATTTCCTTAGGGCTTCGAAATTCGTTGTAACATTTTCTGGCTTTTGGATATACACTTCCCAGATATTTAAATTTTCGTAGATGTTTGATTTCGGAATCTGTCATAAATGAAGGATACACTGATCTTTACGATTAGCCAGCGCTTCGTTTGGTGAAATGTCGCATAGCTTAATCGTATTTACTCTTTGTTGCCTTTTGTCCTTTCCAACGTTAAACTCAGTAAAATGTATAAGCTCATTTTGTTTGAGTGACGAATAAACAAAAACGCTTCATTGTCACAACCTCTTTTGTCTTTAAGTACGTGATATCTAAAACCAGAACCAGAGGCTCGCTGTTCTTATCTAAAGCTAGTGTTTTAATTCTCCTTTCTAGAACCACATTTTTGTTGTCTCAAGCTATTTCTTCATCTTTGAGATTTGACCAGTATTCACTGCTGTAAATAGTCCTGAGTATGACGATAAACTACATCCAACAGCACGGCTTTTGATCGGGAGATTGGAGGTTTTGAGGAGCGTCGACCCAACTCTTTATTTTTATTATTCCCAGGCCCAGGCCGACCCGACCCGGGGGTGGTAGCACCACCTGTTCGGGTCACAGCTATAGGCAATTAATGAACCCCCACTAAATAAAAAAATATGAAAGTATAAAAACACATTTATTATAGTAAGAATACCAGCAATAATTTTTTATATAAAAAGTACCAGAAATACATGTTCATAGTAAAATGATCAGTAATACATTTTATCTTGAGTTGAAGACATACAACTGCGTTTAAATTTAGATTTTGGGATTTAAATAAGCGATAGAAGTTGGCATGCCGTTAAACAAAATCAACCAATTAAACATCTAGAAGACCGAATTAACATAACTCTGTAAGATTCTTTTGTTTGTTTCTAACAAAATTTTTCTATTTCTTAATACTTTTATCAGCTTCTGGAAGGCATTTTCACTATTTCATTGGGGCTTCAAAATTCGCTGTCACATTCTCCCGCCTTTGCTTATACACTTCCCAGATAATTATGCCGCTAAACAAAAATGACCAACTTTTTCCACCTATAGTCGCCATTTTGCTTAAACGTTGGTATTTTCTTGACCTAAAATGAAAACTTGAGAAATTTCCAACATATTTCAGTGAAATGTTCAATTTCAAAAATTATAGTTCATAATTATATTTTAGATAGAGGAAAAATAAGGTTAAAAAAATTTAAAGTGACGGCGCCAACGTCTGTTTAAAAGCGACCCATTCTTGCATATGTTATGAGCATTTTGTTTAAAATTTTCGTATTTTCTTGAATTCAATTGAAAATAACCAACATATTGCATCGAAATACGCACTTTCAAAAATAATTGTTTATAATTATTGTTTAGAAATATGGAAAAAAAAAAGAAAATTTTAGTTTAAGCCAGTGGTTCCCAAATCTTTTTTCTGTTGCTACCACATTGCGTATCAAAATACAGCCCTAAATACACCCTCCGCCAAATGTATAGTCAACCCTTGATTGGATATTTTTGTCGCTATTATTGCTTGTCAAATGTGTATCTTAGTATTACGCATAATAATCTGTGACTTCCCTCCGTCCATCCGTCCCTCACACCTTCTAAAATAGTCATATATTGACCGATCAAAAGTGCAAAAATGTAAGTGGGATACAAAGTACAGTTGGTTTTACTAAGGTGCGTAGATTAGTACAATAAATTTCAATTAATTTTTTTTTTCATTAATAGTTTTATTATTTAACATAGAAAATACTCCAACTGTTTTTAAAAAATTTAATGATTAAAATAACAAATACTTATTTAATAAAAATGCAATATTGTTTTCTGCATATCTTTTCTTTAAGTTTTTATATATACAAGAATCCAGTTTCCAGCTCGCCCTGCGTTTTCGAGAACTATAACCAAATCACAAGACCAAACTCTTCAAAAAGTTGGAATTTGGCTCCAAAAAGAAATATTTACGCATGGCCAGTTGTATGTTGCATGCTCAAGAGTAAGAAATCCTTAGAATTTATTCTTTGCTGTTAAAAAGAAAAAGAATTCTTAAAAAATATTGTGTACCATGAAGTCCTATAAAATGAAATGAAATTAAAGAAATTATTAAACCGCAAAGTAGTATTTTTCCAGACAAATCAGTTTATTCAAATTTCATTGATTACGGAATTGAATGAAACGTAGAGTTTGTAAATCTCAACAAAAATTTTAGCGATAACTTCAACAATACTAAATACTGTGAAGATTTTTAACACGCGTCAACCTGTTGCAAAAAATTCTAGATGTTATAGAAAGTAAAGTGATGGCAACATACACTTCAGATAAAAGTGTGTGTGTATGTGTGTGCGTGTGTGTGGTGCAGGTTATGTTTCTGATGTGCAACTGCCACTCTCTGACTACCCACTTTTATTTTCACACTGTCTACCTGGATCTTTACGCCACTCTCGGATAGATGCCGCTCACTTTAGGTATCATTGGTTTAAATTGACACTATTGGCATATGAGGCAATAAATGATTTTTATATTGAAATCTATAATTAACACTGGATTTTTATTTTAATTTTAACACCGGATTTTACTGAGGGTATTAACGTATCACTTCAAGCAAGACGGGCCTACGACCGTATTATGTTGAAACACCGGTTCCTGTAACATCGTAGAGCCTGGTCAGTACCGAGATTGGAAATATAAACTTCATAATGGCTTGGAATTGTTAACCGAAGAGTCAAATTCCAATTCCTATAGGGGTCGTTATATTCACATACGCGCAAATACCAGTGGAAAAGATATAAATCCACCTCTTCTCCCCAACTATGGGTTAATTAGTAAGACTAGTATCACTAAAAACCATTATTACCTAAAAAAAATCTTAAAATCTAAAAAAATATTTTCTGATTTTAAATAACCTGCAAAGAGTTAATAAGCCGTAGAAAATGGATTCATCAATAAATTTAAGAA